ATATATAGAAAGAGAAGAATATTTTTATAATTAATTATTTTAGGACGGTTGTTGTAGGATAGAATATATCTAACTTTTAATATTTGAGCACGCAAGAGATCGACCTAATACCTTAAAAACCCTTCAACTTTAGCTTTTGTCCAAATTTTACTTTTTGTCTCATAAAAAATCTCCAATTTTAGGTCTTGTCCCAATCCTACCCTCAACTTTTTTTTTATCCCATAAAAAACCCTCAATTTTACATTATGTCCCAATTCAACCATAAACTTTTTTTTTGTCCTATGAAAAACCCAAAACTTTAGGTATTGTCCCAATTTTACCCTAAAAATTATACGGTCTCATAAAAAACCATAAACTTTTACTTGAGTCATAAATCTACCTCCATTAACCTTCCATCCAAAATTTCTCATTGACAACCGAGAGATAACAAAACTCTCAAGCAGTTTTCTAAAATTGGTTGAGGCTTATATGTGGTTACCCCTACATCACATGAAGTCACAAACTCTCTAACCGCGAGAGATTGAACATTCTCAAGCATAAGAGATTGACGACCGCAAAATCCATAAGGCGATTTTGACAGAGGGTTAATGAAAAGCAGATTTGAGATTCAAGTAACAGTTGATGATCTTTTTTTAAACGAAAAAAATTATAACGAAATTGAAATTGGACCTAAAGCTGGGATTTTCTAGTTTATGGTATAATTGATACTAGACCTAAAGTTGAGGGATTTTTATGAGACAGCAAAAGTTTATGGTATAATTGGGACTGGACCTAAAGTTTTACGTTTTTTATAGGACAAAAAAGAGGGGAAAAGTGCCAAAAAAGCCATAAACCTTTTGCATTAGTGCCAATTTAGTCCTAAACCTTTTTTTGGTGCCAATTTAGTCTTAAACCTTTTGCATTTGTGCCAATTCAGTCCTAAACCTTTTTTTGGTGCCAATTCAATCCTAAACCTTTTAAATTGGTGCCAATTCAGTCCTAAACCTTTTGTTTTTGTGCCAATTTAGTCCTTCCAGTCAATTTTGACCGGAATTCGCCGACGTGGACGCCTGCCGGCCGGCGGCCGGTCACCGGCGCCGACGTGGCGCCAACGTGGACAACTTTAATAATATTTTAATATTTTTTAAATATTTTTTTCCGGCGACCGGCCAGAGGCTAGAGGCCGGCGAACTCGACCTCGCTGGCCACTAGCGAGGGCGAGCCTCGCCTTGGTTGGGCGAGGCCCGACCTCGCCCGGCCATGGCGAGGGCGAGCCTCACCATGGTCAGGCGAGGCCCGACCTCGCCAGATCTAGCGAGGTCGAGCCTCGCCCAGCAACCTTGCCAGATCCGGCAAGGTCGGGCCTCGCCCTACCATGGTGAGGCTCGCCCTCGCCGCGGCCTTCGGCGAGGGTTCAAGCCTCACCCAGCGACCTCACAAGATCCGGCGAGGTCGGGCGTCGCTAGATCCGGCGAGGCTCGCCCTCACTAGTGGCCGGCGAGGTCGAGCTCGCCGGCCTCTAGCCTCTGGCCGGTCGCCGGATTGGCGATCGGCCAGAGGAAGGAGGGAGAGACAAAAAAAAAAAACAAAATGAAAAAAAACGAAAAAAAATAAAAATTCAAAAAAATATTAAAATATTATTAAAGTTGTCCACGTTGGCACCACGTCGGCGCCGGTGACCGGCCGCCAGGTGTCCACGTCGGCAAATTCCGGTCAAAATTGGCCGGAAGGACTAAATTGACACAAAAACAAAAGGTTTAGGACTGAATTGACACCAATTTAAAAGGTTTAGGACTTAATTGGCACCAAAAAAAGGTTTAGGACTAAATTGGCACCAATGCAAAAGGTTTAGGACTGAATTGGCACCAAAAAAAGGTTTAGGACTGAATTGGCACTAATGCAAAAGGTTTAGGACTTTTTTGGCACTTTTCCCCAAAAAAGAGTTTAGGTTAAAATTGAGACAAAAGCTAAAGTTGGAGGTTTTTTAGGGTATTAGGCCCAAAAGATCAAATAGAATCATTAATTTACGATTTTCCATGGACACATATTTATAAGATACGCAATTAAGGATTTGTTTTTTGGGGGAGGGGGGGGGGGGGGTTATGAATGAGATTCCTTAAAAGTATGAGGTAATTTTTACTTTATATAAATATCTTTTAAAATATCAGAATTGTAATATCAACCTACTTATGATATAATTTCAATTTTTAACTTGAAAAAAAACTTATGTCGCGTTGTCTAAACTTTGCATGGATATTTATTTTTTTTTCCACCGTCAGTTTAAAAAAAAAACTGAGTACTGACCGGTGGGTTTTTTCTTAAAACATGCGAATTTAAGATCAAAACACCTATGCCTCGTGGTGGCAAATGGAAATGAACACGGGTCACAATTTAGGGCCATTTTTATGTAGAAAAGAAAATTGAGAAAATTATACAAAACTCCTGAACTTTGAATATTGTACATGTTTCTCTTGAAACTTTCAACTACTGCACATTACCCCTCCGAACTTTCATTTTGTTACCATCCTCAACTATCTCTTCTATCTTCCGTAAGCATTTTACCTAATGGGGGATTCCATCTCACTTTTTTTTTATTATTAATTTTCTCTTTTACACTTGGCTTCTGTAAAATGAAAATAAAAAAAATAAAGAAAATGGGAAAAATAAATTAACTAAAATATTACTATAAAAATATATCAAAAACAAAATTTATAAATTTATTTTATGAAAATATTAATAGAAGCAATTAGATATTGAAAGGGAGGGAAACACAATTAAGTAAAAAGGAAAAAGGCTTCAATAGCATAAAAGTCGAATAACAAAAATTGGACACTCCTCATAAATATTTTTAAATGGTTAATTAAATGAAAAAATAGATTGATTAGTTAAAGCTACTTAAAAAGATCACCCTGGATTTTGGTAAATCATTTTCTTTCGTGAGTTGAGGATTTCATTTACTTGCATAATTTTTGCACAACATTTTTTTCTATCAATCATTTCTTACATTAATTAACCCTTTGAACATAATCAATATCAATTTTTGTCATTTGACCTTTTTTGTTATTGAGGCATTTTCCCTTTATTTACTTTGTGTTTATTCTTTTTCTTAAAATATTTTATTTAGTTTTATCAAAGTGGCCATATTTATCAAATTTAAAACAATTTTTTATTGTCTAATACTATTATTCATATTTATCTTTTTTTCAGTTATTAGTATGTCAATTATTTAGTTTTTGCCAATTTTCTATGTTTTCATTTTTTTTTTCAAGAGTTAAGGATAAAACAGGGATTTCTTAAAAAAAGATGACATGAAAAATATTCTTTTGCTCCTTAAAAGTCATATGTATTATACATGCTAACGGAAAAAATAACGAAAGTTAACAGTAGTAACAAAATAAAAATATATTGAGATAGAGTAATAGTGAAAATTCGAGGGTAAATACTATGGCTCACTCATCCACACTCGGTTGACCATCGATCTCTTCCGGCACCGACCTCTCTCTCTCTCTCTCTCTCTCTCTCTCTCTCTCTCTCTCTCTCTCTCTCTCTCTCTCTCTCTCTCTCTCTCTCTCTCTCTCTCTCTCTCTCTCTCTCTCTCTCTCTCTCGTGTCATCTTGGGTCCAAAACTCAGCTCGGGGGGCTCGATGCGATCCCGGCCTTGCGTTGGATCTCATATATGGCGCCTTGGTTGGGCCTGAGGTCCAGATGGGTCGGCAAAGGGCAAGCATCGAGGGCCGTCGCCGACCCCTTGCCCGATCAATTCCGGAGAGGGTGGGGGAGGGGGCACCGCGGTGGCGGCAGTCGATTTCACAGTCCATTCAGCAATCACAGTCAAACGGATACAACGCTCCCATCACATATTCAATGGTTCTACTGAACACTAGAGGCACATTGGAATTACTTTTGATCACGAGGTCGCGAATTGTTTTTTCTTTACCAATAACAACAATGGAATTCTTCTTAATATTATTTTTATTTTTATATATTTTCTTCTTCTTCTTCCTTCGTCGTTGTTGTCGTTTTCAATCGATGACAACAATGGATTTTGACGAGGGGAAAGGCGAGGGGATAAGGACAGAAAAGCAAAGAGGATAAGCTTTGGCACAATTTTCATGCGAACTTATTCTGGTAACATATGCGGTGTAGATATCACCTTAGACAACTTGTATAATAGTAGTTATACCAAAATAAGTTTCTTAAATCTTGTTACAAAAACATTCATTTTTAAAAATTTGGACCTTTGGCTTGTACTCTCGATGGAAAAAAAAGAAAGAAAAATTGATCACAACAAAAAAAAAAACTTGTAATTTCTTCTTTCAGATGTCATCATAAATCGATGAAAAAGATTCACTAAGGAAGAGCAATACTATATGTGTGAAAACGAAACTTTTATTTTTGCTAACTAGTCGTCAATTACCAATGGTATATGATTTAATGAACAAACAAATCATACGTTTGTATGAAGTGTCAATCTACATTATATTCAATCTTTTTATTATTATACTATCACTCTATTTAAAAATCCTCTGTAAAATTATACTTTACATCCATAAATTTGCCCACTTTTGCCACTCCTTGCCATTGAAATTTCCTCTGTTTACAGACTGGTAATTGAATAAAATCTTACGTCTGTCTTATTATGAGTATGTGCGAGAATTGAATTTGTTCATGCACGCGCAAATCTAGTCAAATAGGAAAAATACTATAACGATAAAACGTGCAATTAAAACATGGGAGGAAAAAAGGCAATTAAAAGAGACCAAGCCGAGCAAATCGAGCAATTCGAATTGAAGCAACCGGTTCAATTAGTTCAATCTCAGTTCATATTTTTCCTCCAATGTTAGCAGTGACCACCCAACCAAAGAGGCTTATGCCCATATCACAATCTCAGACAGCTTCCCCAGTTACTAGATGTGGCATTTGTCTTTCTGTGACATGAAGTCTTCCTATCTTCTTTTTGCTGTTTTCAGCATTTTGTGAAATGGTTCTGCTTTCTGGGTTGAAAGTGATTAACAACAACATCAAGAATAAAGATTAGTGCAACACAAATCTAAGCATGAAGTTCAGTGCATAACTATTTCTGACAAATGCAGTGACTCAGACACGAAGCACTCAGATCCCCGCCGCGACACTTTGACCTGCGAACTTGAATCTAAGCTTAATGAGTTCGAGAAACCCTCTATTGATCCAGGTTGATCCAGGTCTATCCAATTTCGATATTCTGAGCTGTTATTTATGAACTTATTCGCATCATATTGAGGTATGTCCTTCCAAAATAATTTGGAAATGTGCAGTACATGGAAGGTTTTTTTCCCAGACATAATTGAAGAAGATATGACCTATAAGATTAAAGTAGTTCTGTCTGATCAATGGTAAAGTCTTCCAGAAAGAAGGAAGGGCACTGAAATCTGAGTGGTGGACATGATGGTAGAAATGTCGGACAGAGGAAATGTAGCCCACCTCAGAGCGATCGCCATAATCAACCCTTATCTCCTTTCCCATTGTGAGCAACACCGGCCAGGGCCCTGCAAAAATCATCATTTATGACTGACGATACAGGCATTTTGAAATATATATTGTGTACCACAACTTCAAACTTTAAGTCCGACTCTTTACTACAAGCAATTTTAATCATCAATGTCGTGGCAGCTACCTCATTCAACACAATGGCATGCAACCTTGCTGATACAATAGAATAAATATTGAGCGAACTAACAAAAACAACTTGAATGAGTATTCCAGTGTCAACAGAAGCTGCAAATTGGTCTCATAGCATGCAAGTTTTGAAAATCTTAACTGGTTGTCTTATAGAAATGATAACACTCAGCAAACAACAGAACTTTCTATGAATTATAATCTAATAATATACATTGCCCCTAACTTCTAAAGTTCTAAATGTTCTTTCTCCAATTTGAGCGTTGCTGCCACGAATTACAACATATGCTCAGCCACTTGGGCCAACCTTAGGCGGCGCCCCTGGCAAGGGCGATGGAGGCTGCTAAACTAGGAAATGGACCTTCCTGATCTCTCATTGAACCCATCCAGGTAAGTTCCAATCTGAGGGTTCACCTCAGCAATTCGTTGTGCATTTATAAGAGTCGCAAGATAAAACTCACATAGATGCTTAAGGTGACTACTATCCGCCTAAATGGAAGGAGCATCCAAAGCTTCATTGGTGCCGGAAAAGTAAAGAATTCCTAGAAGTTCTCTCAATTAAGATGCCTCAAAGGAAACTACTGCAAAGTTTTTGCTTGCGGCAGCTATTTTTACGATCACATTCTTTTGCATATAAATACCCCTGTGAGCAACCTTATAGGTGCTTTGCCTTTCTGCCTGAACAAAGAACAAGTTTGCAAGGCCACAACTCTTGTATGCAAACAAATTGGATATTGTCCAACAACACTGCACTCATTTTAAGAGCGAAAACAAGTAGCTTATTCGGACCTATGCCACATACATAGATTGCATTAACCAGAATCAGACTATTACTTGAGAGTCAAGGTCCAGAACAGTGCTATCGAGGCATCTATACAGGTATACGGTAGACGCTTTTTGCATGCAGAATAGGGGTGCTGTGCAGCTGTCATGGGTCTTCAAAAGGAACCAAGACAGGAGCAAAGACATCCTAAGAAATCTGCCCGTGGACTCCACCTCGAGCGACTGCCTGTGGACCCCACCTCAAGGGACCTTCCCTTATTTAGGACAATACAAAGATGAGGCTTTTAAGAAGAAAGGCGGGCTTTTCTTTTAGAGGCATTCCTCCTAGCTCCCAACAGCTTTTCAAGCAGCCACATTTTCTCTTTATTCTTCCTTCCCTAAGTCTAATCACACTTTTTACATGCAATTCGATGCTTCCTTCATCGAAAGAAAGTACTCTTTTATCTGTCCAACTCCCTTCTTTCCCCAAGACCAGGGGCTCTTGGGGGAGTGAGATTTGATGAAAAGAAGACAAGAGGCCAGAGAGATCTCAAATGGTGTGAGAAGCCAGTTTTGGCAGTTCATGGAGACCTCCACATACCAACTGCTTTTAAGGAAAATCACAATAATACTTAGAGACGCTACTTCATATGGACAAGCTCCAAAAAAGAAAGTAGAAGAAGTTCCAAGTTAAAATGGGTGCAATCTTTCCCAGGCAATCTGCCATTTTGAAAATTGTACTCAATGGAAGATCGGCCTTTTGGAATACTAAAATCAGTCTAAACTATAGATAAGTATGTAGACGTCTTATACTGTTTTTAGTATGTAATGTGATCTTTCAGTCGTGAATCAAGCTCATTAGTATGTTATTGTCCTAAAAATAACTAAAAGATGACATTTGATTTCAAGAAACCTGTTTAATATTGCCTAACCCTACAATAATTTAAACATAAGACGTCCAACGTTCCCAAGCTCAACCTATTTGTCCCAGAAATCCAGGGTCCAGGTATCCTTCATCCAGCAGACATTTCTTAAAATTGCAGATACCTCTAAATACATATTCCATTTATCAGTCAAGACTCCTCGATCAAAAGGAAACACCCCCACCATACAGCATCCTCTATGTCTTGAAATTAGCCTATAGTTTGTACCCAAACAAGCTATAGCATCAAGCCATATGGGTATCTTAAGTTGTCCAGGGGACAAAAGAAATAAAAATCCTCTCAAACTTACAGAAAAATCAACTACCCATCTTCTTAGTGCATTGTATATGCCTCAGGAGTCTCCTTCCAACTGCTTTAACAAAGACACATTCAAAATACCATCTAAGGAGACGAACCCCTTTTTTTTTGTCTTGAAAGAAACATGCACCTTTGGGTCATTATGATTTTTTTCTTTTGGCCTTGGCTGGTGGCCTCTAGGGAAGTTAAATATCTAGGCTTGTTTGCCCCTTCTAGGATCAAAGAAAGTGGTTCAAGAAATTGAGATTCTAAACTATACAAGGGAGATATGTTTTTTGATCACGTCTCTGAAGAGACATGCAAGAGATAGTGAATAGCTAAAGAGAAGTATAAATCAATCCCAACAAAAAAAAATATATATAACCACCACCACCAAACAGAACAAATGAAATATGGAAGAGCAAGTCAGAACACAATTGCACAAGAATAATGAGTTCTTGTCGTGTCATACGAGAGATGGTTTATTCAACCAAACCAACTACTGATTAGATCGCATCATGGTATCAATAGACCCAGATATGAATGCACCATAACTCCTAAGCAAGAGCACTCCTCATGTGAAAATTACACAACCTTCTAATTTGGCATAACATTGTTCCCACATAAAAGGTTTCTAAATACTTAGTTACTATGAATACTTTCAACTACTCAAAAGTTCCACTAAACTCACAAGAAGCTGCATATATATTGGGAGACGTAAGATATCAACACAGAGAATTCAATTGAAAAAAAAAAATGGGTTTGCTTTAATTATCAAAGGTAACCAAGAGCACAAGCAACCAAGGGCATGGGCGCTAAACATTAATATATGCGCCCTAAAATTGCAGATGAGTTACTGGGCAATCCTTGAACAAGAAGCAGCTTATTGATGTACGAATTCACAATATTTGGCAACAAATCAGCAGTTGCCTCTGCAGAACAGAGCAGACCAGTAGAATCAATCTACTACCTAGAATTTACCCAATTGACACTCTAGGCAACGGTGCAAACGCTCAACAGCAAACTTTCACTGAAAATCACCCATATCAATATTTTACTGATAAACGGCACGAATGCCTAATGAATGAGCAAAGACCCAGCCAAACAGGGATTATCATCTCTCTTCCAACTCCACTCGTATCACAAACGAAAAAAAAAAGCAATCAGAATCATAAGCAGCTACGCAGAAAATGATCAAACAAATGAAAAAACAAAACTTGACAAAGCACGCATTTGAAGAGGACGATGAATAGATGAGCCACTGGTTCAAAGGTCATGGAGATGCCAAGCGTGGCATTGACCTAGAAACCCAGTTTTTGCACAAATTGAATCGCTGTGAAGAACCCTAAATTGCAACCCAAACAAATCGAACAACCAATCAATACCCAAACATCCACTCCCACTCCCACCGATCAGTAATCGAGCATTCCAATTGGCAGCAAATTGAAAACAATTATCCCCAGAAGGGTACTCACTTCTTGTGCCGCCGGCCCTTCTTGGGCCCCCAGCCCTCGAGCTTGGCGACGGGGCAGCCGCAGCGTGCCCGGAAGAGCAGGACGGCGCGGCCGTTGGGAGGGGCCATCTTGCGGAGCTCGGCGCGGAGGCACTCGTAATCAGGGTTCGACTGGGTAACGCCCTTCCAAGGGAGGCGGTCGATCTCCTTGGAGGAGCCCGATCTCACGCACTCCTCCGTCTGGAGCTGCAAATCGAACTCCATGGCCTTCTTGAGGCCCTTGCAGCCTTGGCGGTCGCAGCGGCGGGACCGGGCGCCGCAGAAGCACTCGAGGAGGGCGACGGCGGCGACGAAGAAGGCGGCGAAGCCGAGGGCGTAGGGGACGACGGGGAGATCGAGGCGGAGGTGGATGGTGGCGGTGGCGGCGGCGGGGTGGGCGAGGAGGAGGGAGAGGGAGTTGAAGATGTAGGAGAAGTAGGAGGAGACGAGGAAGGCGCCGGAGAAGAGGACCAGGACGAGGATGAGGAGGTCGAGGGTGGCTGAGGGGGAGTGGGTGCAGAGGGAGGAGGAGGAGGCGTTGTGCTGCTGGTGGTGGTGGTGGCCGCCGCCGCCGGAGAGGCCGCCGCCGCCGCCGCCGCCGGGGCTCGGCGATTTGTGGTGGTGGTGGTGGTGGTTGGGCTTGGAGGGGTTGAGTGAAGGCATGGCAGTGGGTGCTTGTGAAGAAAGAGGAGAAGCGGAGGAGAGGAGGAGATGGTGCATGTTTAAGAGAGACACAGAAGGCAATATTTTGTTTTTGCTTTTGTTTTTTTTTTCCTTTTTTAAATTAATTTTCTTTGACGGAAAAATGATCCGGATGGTCTTCGAATTTTGATTTAATATGTAATGCGATCCCTGAACTTTTAATTTGTTCAATATGATCTATAAACTTTTGTTCAACTTTCAATATGATCCTAAACTTTAGCCAAATGTCCAGTATGCTTTTAATTTATTTAACATGATTATTGAACTTTAAGTACACGTTCAAACTAGTCTTTCAACCAAAAAAAAAACTAGTCCTTTTTTAATCAATCCTATCTCTAACTCTCCTCACTTTTCTAACTTTTGCTCTACCTCTTGTAGGCGGGAGTCGAACCTCGCACTTGTGATACTAGCATCCTCACTCCCTACCAGCAAGGCCGCATGACTATTGACCTATGAATTTTAGGTACATGTTCAAACTACAATGTTGTTCTTCTATTAATTTAAGTTCAAGGATAACAATTAACATTAAAATCTGAATTTCTAATTTGTTTAATATGGTCTATGAAATTTAGGTACATATTCAAACTGGTCCATGAACTATATGAAAATATTTAATGTTGTCTTTCCATTAATTTAAGTTCGAGAATAACATCGAACATTTTTTAACATGTTTCAAAAGTTCAGGAATCACATTGCACATTAGGTTAAAGTTCATGAATCGCATTACATAATAGACTAAAGATCAGGACCATTTATATCATTATCCCTTCGCCGATTTATTTACTTATGTATTTATTTATTATTGAGGTGTTAGTGCAGCACTGGGCCTTTCTTGTGGGGGGCGTTGGAGTGGAATCTGGGGAAGAAAAAAAAGCGCAAAAGGACCGGTGCGTGAGGGCCACGCGCCGCGGGGGGAGCGTGGGGGAAGGAGTTAGCATTTTGCCTTTTTTAGGGGCCTGTTTTATAAATTCTTTGTTTGCTTGTCCTTTGGGCTTTCTCTCCTTGTTTTTTTCTCATGGGTTAATGAATGAGTACTTAATGATGTCTTTAATAAGATGGAGTTGGAGGGGGAGTTAGGGACTAGAGTGCAAATATCTCTTTCTTCAAGGACTGAGTAGCATCGCCGCGGGGCGGGCGGGGAGACGGACTTAGTATTTTGCTTTTTTCTAGGGGCTCGTTTACAATTATTTATTTTGCTTGTCCTTTGGGCATTCTTCCCTTTTTGTTATGGGTTAATTTGTAGTTAATGATGGTTTTAATGAGGTGGAGTTGGAGGAGAGTAAAGGACTAGGGTGGAAATATTCCTTTCTTCAAGGGCTTAGTAGCATCGTTTTTCGTTTGGTTTGTGTTTCGGAGATTTCACAACCTTTTGTGAACCTCCTTTTTTTCCATTTCATTTTGTCGTTTCGCCTTTAGTCGCCGCGTGCATCGAAGTCTGATTTACTCTCGATTGAGGTCGCTGTAACCGTTTTTCTCATTTGCCGAGGAACCGCCGACATGCTCCGCTCATCTGACGAAAGAAAAGAAAAGACAAGTGGCGCCGATGTAGCATTGAAATAGTGTCACATCAATGCCGCGTTAGCATCAGCCCTCTAAAATGGGAGGGGAAGGGGGAGAAAGGAGCGGGAGTTTCTATGGTTCAATAACGTACCGTTTCCGCCATTGACGCAACTGGCATTTTCTTCTTTTAATCATTTTTGCGATCATATCACAAAGTATTTTAGTATGAAATAACATTATAAAAAATGTTGTAAAACTTTTTGTCTCATAATTATGTTATTTCAAATTGAAGTCTTATTTTAGCATAAAAATTTATTTTACATTGTACGAAAAATTAATCATATTTAAATAAAAAAAATCTTACGTAAATGTATTCACCAATTTGTTAATGTGTATATATTAACGTGTTTAAATATACCTACTTGTGGCAGTTGGCATGAACATTGAGTTACAATATATATTTTTCATAAAATTTATGACACAATTATTTTAGGTGAGACACGATGTCATAGAAATTTTATTGAAATTTCTGTAATTAAAACACGACATGCTAAGGTAGGCTTCGGACATTCATAGTCATGAAGTGATGCACGTCCATAAAAATGTACCCTTCCATAGCTATTTCGGGTATCCGACATGCTATGTGTTAGACAGCCGAAGTCCGAAAAAAGTAAAATTAATATTACGACATTCGGTTTTTGATTACAGTAAATCGTTTTAAACCTTCGTATATAGTCATTAGTAAAAAAAAATCGATTTTACAATATGTTACTTGTATCTACGAATTTATGATTGTTAGTCGTAAACCTTTGTATGTCATCTAAATAATATTCTAATTTCATAACAATCACCTTTTGCTTCATTGAGCTGTGTACGGCAGTCAGAAGCGACTAACTGCAGGCCAGGGTGACTAACTACGGCGGCCAAAAACTTGTCTTAAGTTTTAATGACAAGTTTAAGTGGGTCATAAATGAATCAATTAATAACTTAAATGAATCATAAATGGGTTAGTTATTTAATAAGTGTGAGTGAGTCATAAATGGACAAGTCATTTTTTTTAATTCTTTTTAATTTTCTGATTTTTCATAAATTTTTTCTTTTTTCTTTCTTTTCCTTTTTTTTTCTAGGAAATCCAACAAGGGTTGCCGCCCGGTCACAGGTCTTCGATCTCCGATCGGTTGTCGGTTGTCCCTCGTCGCTGGTTGTTGGTTGTCGCTGGACGCAGTATTAAAAATAGAAAAATAAAAAATATAACATATAACATATAAAATAAAATAAAAATCAGATTTTTTTAAATTATAAAAATTATTCACAGTGTTTTAGCAATATATATTTTTAAAAAATTATAAGAAACAAGTTTTTCTAAATTGGATTTAATATTAAAGTCTTTTAGCAATACGGGTTGGGTTTGGATCGCTATATTTGTACTACATAAATATGGGTCCAAATGGGTCGGTTTCCATATTCGACCCCACCCAAACTCAACCTGACCCACTCGTTTGACACCCCTAGTGGTAGAGAAAATTAGGGTTCTGTTGGTGATTGGGAGTTAGGATTTTGGGGAAGGTTTTGGAGGTTAGCTTTGCACATGAGGGTAGTTTGGTCTTTTTAAAAATGATATTTTGCCCAAAAAAATATGAAGAAGTTTTTCTTAAAATAGAGGATTCAAAGTGGTAAAATTGTAAAACTTGAGAAAGGTTTGATGTATTTTCCCAAAAAAAAAATTTAAATGGGTATGGAGGGAGAGAGGGGAATGGAATTGCAGACATCTACAAAAATTTAGGACTGTGAAATAGAGAGTACTTCGGTTTTTAAGGCATTTGGCCAAAAAACTTACCACTACAGGTTTTTCGCAGTTCTAGTATTTTCGCAACAGTTTCCACAAAATTACTTTTAGTAGCTTTGAAGTGTAATAAATAATAACATTTCTATGATTAGTTTTTGCAATAAAAAAATAAAAATCATGATAATAATGGCATATAAAATGATAATGACAAAAATAATAACAATAATATTAGTTGCAGTAATGATAATGACACTTTCATGTTATTATTGTAATTATATGGATATATATGTTATAGCCATCATTATAATTCTGGTATTATAAAAGTAAATTAAGAATGGCACATTAATTCTAGTCCAATAATGTCATTGGTGTTTTTTCATCATTTCGATAGCCACAACAATCTTGCATCGATTTTTGTCAAACTCATTAAGTATTTATAACCATAACACAACACTTTTAAAATACGTCATACCGGACACACGTGTTTCGACAAAACACAGCTACAGCATAGTTCCAGCACAGTTGCTGCTGTATCAAACAGGCTATAAGCCTTCATGACGAGATGATGGGAGTATTAGCGGTTGTAGAGTTAGGAATCGACCCTGTTTTGTCCGAATTTTGATACCAGGATGGGAATTGACTTACCCTAATATTGATCACCCCTCGTAACTGTAATCATTATTGTCCTTCACTAGTGAATTGGTGTGTAAAATCAAATTATGTGTGTAAACTAGTGATATTATAAATGGTTAATACCGCGAAAAACCCCAAACCGTAAACTGGTATATATGTGACAATTTTACCCTAAACTAATTTTTTAACTACAAAAAAACCTAAATTGGTATAGTTGTGATAAATTTACCCTCTGTTAAATTAAAATAATATCACAAAAAATCATAAACTGATACACTAGTGACAAATGAAGGGTAAAACCCCAAACTGGTACATCCGTCAACTGCCACGTGTGACAGTAAAATTTGACGGAAACTAACGGAGGGTAAAATTGTCACAGATTTATCAATTTAGAGTTTTTCATGATAAAAAATTAAATTTGAGATGAACATGTCATAAGTATACCGATTTGGAATTTTTCGTGGTATTAATTTTTTTTATAAAAGAGGGTAAAAAGTCATATGTATGTGAAAAGGTTTTTTACTTTTGTACCGATTTTCCCCAACAGACTTAATCCCAATTTCTAGAGGTTAGTTTCGAATCCCCGATTCCGCATCCCAAGAGGACGTGTCCCCAAATGCCAAAAGTTTTGCTACTTGAATCAATTTGCAATTTAGAGTCGTATATGACATCTAAATAAAGCACGGGATAAACGTATTGAAAGGACTAAAACTTATCACGAAAGTATAATTAAGTCATAAAATTTTCCAAAAGTATAAAAATCCTAAAACTTATAAAATTGATGCAATCAAGTCATTCCACCCCATCTAATTTGGCTAATAGAAAATGCCGACGTGGCTTTTTTTTTTTCTCTATCCGACGTGGAGCTGACGTGGATAAAACGATGTCGTTTTGATCAAAATCTGATTTTTTATTACAAATTTTATATAAATTATATCGAAAATAGGCAAAATTTTAAAAAATTAAAAAAAGAAAGAAAAAAAAGGAAGAAGCAAGTGAGGGCCCTCGCTGCTGATGCCCTTATCGGGCTAGCGACCCTCGCCGGGCTAGCGACCCTCGCCGACCATTCCCCCACCTTTGC